TGGCAATCTTTCAGGCGCTTTACGAAAAGAAAAGGAGAAGAGAAGACCCTGAATATGCACAAAAGTTGAGGGACAGAGACCGCCTCAGACAACAAAAGAAGAGATAAGAACGGGGTGTTCCAAAAAGGATACCTGTCACCAACAGTGAAACGAGGCAAATACTGATGGTGGTTCCAAAATGATTTTACTATTAAAAAATATTAACTTATTTGTTATTTTTATTTGTTGGATATGCTGAACCAGAAGCAGAAGCGCTACTACTTCTTCTACTTGATGAGCTTGATGATGTAGGTATTGGTAAATCTGTTGGATGTGCTACCATGGGTGGATTGTGTGATGAACTGCTTGATGAAACATTTACTACTGAATGTGGTGGAGAACTATGGACACTCACTGCAGGTGAAGAATGCACGCTTATAACTTCCTCTTCATTATCATTGTAATTTTCCCCTGCTTGTGTCAAATAATCAATCGCTGACAATAAAGCACTGCCACCCATCATAGCTGTATTTCCTGCTACTTCTGCCAATCTAAAAACCCATCTTTAATTTCCCTCTATGCCTTTTGAAACATCAGCCTTCACTGTCACTGCTACTACTGCTAGGGTTTTCAATCATTTTTGTAAAAGCTTCTACCATCTTATCACTTCTTGATGGCTCAAAATCACTACTTGATGGCTCTAAACTTTTGAAGTTCTTTGAACTCATCTTCACAATATAGTTTCCTATTATCCGGTTTAATTTATCTACTGTTTCAGTCTCTTTGTCAAACGTAATTTTCTTATCGGTTTGCGTTTGTTTGTTCTCTATCTCTGGGAATTGTGTTGCCTCATCTTCAGATTCTATCTCATTACTTCGTTCTCTTCTTTCTGTTGGCTTATTTAAAAATAATGCAAGTATTCATCATCATCTATTATATGTATTTCTTCAGTCTATTGTGTACTAAAATCATGATTAATAATAATTAGATTCTATTCTTAATTATGCCATTTCACTTCCCCTCGCGCTGTGTTTGTTTCTGTATTCTTTAATTTTGCTTTTCAATAGTTCTGATTCAATTCTTCTTTGCCATACACCGGTTTGCATCATATCAACATCTACATAATATTGCTTTGTTGTTTTGCCTCCTCCTTTGCCTTTTGCTCTTGTTGGTAGTTCATTCTCTGGGTCATCTACATCAAAGCCTCTCAAAAACAATTGAAATTTCAATGCTTCTGCGCTCATAGTTCCTACATTTAATCTATAGCTAATGGTTCTTAATACTGCTTGTTTGGGTTCAGGGGCTTCGCGTTCTTCTCTTGCTGTCATCATTTCTACTTCATCTTCTGCTCGTTGGTTGTCTTGTGTTAAATCAATTGCTAATTGTGGCACCGGTTGAGCCATTGGCGTTCCTACTCTGCTACTTGTTCTACTCAATCCACCAAATATCATATCAATAACAGGTGTGGCGCTCCTACTTAATAAACTTTGGTGTGCTTGTCCTTGTTGTTTTCTCTCCTGTGCCATTCTGGCTCTTTCTTGTAGTTGTGCTTGAATGGATGCATTATTAACGTTGTCATCTCTTGGCGTCTCTGCTTCTATTGGGGTTGTGTCTCTACTCTGTTGCCTCATCCTTTCAACATGAACTGTTCCACCTCCTAAATTGTGTCTCAATAATAGTTCTCTCATCTGTCTCTCTTGTATTCTGTTTTTTTGTTCCTTCAATACTTCAAATGCCATCAAAGAAGCTACCTTCAGGACTTGCTTAAAAAAATGTAGCCCTTCTGTCTGGAAGGCTTCCAGTTAATGTTTCATTTTCTCCTATCAACCCTGCTATTTCATCATATGTTGGTCGCCTCTTCAATTCATACTTTGAATAAGGATTTATCATTTCCAATGCCATAGTTGCCATATATTAATATGTTAGGTAAACATGTCAATATATTTATGCAAAAAAATAGGCCTTTAGGTTGCTTAATGCTGTGTTCTTTTGTGTTGTGCGGTAGGTTGTCTCTTTGGACTTCACCTCTCAACCTGTCCAGTTCATTTTGATACTTTGACCTCGCATTTGCTTGTATCATGTCCTTTCTTAATGCTACCATGCCCTCTCTTGCATTTCTTAACTTAAGTTCCTTGTGTAAATGCTCCAGATAACTTGTATCTCTCATATCAAATGGACTAAAAATTATTAAAAATTTGTGAAGATGTGCTTTAGTGCCTGTTTTGTTGTTGTGTTTATGATACTTAAACATTATTAATATATTTTGTTTTAGACAAATATATTAATAATGTAGACTTATTACTTTAATCGTATACCACAGACCCGCGTTCGCAAATTTCTAACACGCTTGCACTAATAAGGTGGGTAAAAACCTCTTGAATGTCTTCAGCATAAATTGCGTTAGTGCTATCACCGGGTGTAGTGTTTAGAGTTCCTTCAGTAGGGCGGATTTTCATAGTCATTAAACTACCCATTTTTGTGTTAACTCCAGTAAAGTTGACGTCAGCCATCTTTTCAAATGACATACCAATAATAAATGTGTTTTCTCTGTATTGCCTGTAACTGAAAATCAATGCATCTTGGTCCGGGTTCATGTAATGTATGGCTCCTCGCAAATAGTAGAAGGTTTCTGCATGATAATGATTGTGCCTCAAACTCTGGATACTTTTTTGTTGCCTAACTGGATTTGCCATTATAAGTTTCTACCATAGTCTTGGAAACCTTTGCCTTGGTCTTGAGGATTTGCTACTGCTCCATTGTCCCAGATGAATGAGTTAATTTGAGAATTGTAAAAGTAGTTCCATCGCTTATGAACATAGTTGTCTGGCAAATAGTTAGCATTGATAGTTCCATTTCCTGGTGTTCTGTATAAAGTACTGAATGCTCCTGTGAGTTTGAATGATGACTTAACAATGTTCATATCCAATTCACCGCCTCCTGTGTTGAAGGTTTGTGTTAGTGTGTGATACATAGGAAAGACCAGTTTTAGTGACTCACCGTCCAACAAATGTTTTACTATGTTGTTATTAACAGTGTTGTCTAAAGTCATTACTTCAGCTCTGATAATAACATTGTTTAATTCCCACTGTGTAGAAGTGTTAGCTGCTTGAAAGTAATACCCCTGTTTGTCAGTTTGAGTGTTCGGGCTTCCTACTGCGCCTCCTTGTGGTTCTACAATAGGTACCAATTCATCATTAACAATTGCGAATTCTAATTCCAAAGGCGCATACCTCAAAGGTAAATAATAATTTGATTGCATCAACCCACAAACAGGCTTATGGCTGAATCGGGCTTTACCATTAGCGCCGGAAATTCTTGTCAATGAGTGTCTTGTATACTGTATATTTTATCTATTCTACCCCATTCATTTTTATCACCGTCAGGGGATACAGTTACTACACCGGGGGTTGGAGTAACACCAGCAGTAGTAGCCTGCAATAATACATCCAAACCATTACTGTAGCATAGTCATGAAAGTCAGCGTCCCATCTTGGGTTAGCTGACATCTCTATGTCATCCATGTCTCTAACATACAACTCACAGTGTCTATTGTATTCAACAATATTTCGATCCATTTGACCTCCTACTATTGCTCTGTATCGTTGAATAAAGGCATGTAAGCCTCCTAATGGACGTAAGAAATGGTGTCTTGTTCGATCGTTATTTTGCAAAGTTGCAAACAACCTTACTGAACTCAAATCCAAATAGGTATTATCCTCTCCTGAAATGTAAAACCTAATGTTTTTCGCCCCCGCATTCGCATTAAATACGTTTGTGGTGCTACTAAAATAGTTTACAAATCGCCTGTTTGTAACATATTGTGAAGTTTCAGGTAATCCAAAGTTCAGGTAATCCAGGTCACCAGCTTAAAAACAGACATCAAACGAAGCGGTATCCATTTAGGAGAAAGGATTTCTATGTTTTTTTCCTTCAGGGAGAGCTTTGGTAAGGATGAGTCTGGTTCTATGTTGTCCTTTTTATCCAGGTTCTTTTACAAAACTTGTGGTTTTTTACTTTAACATTTCAAGGTAAAAAAATCACAAGTTTGCGTCTGTATGTACTTTTTGATGATGCATGGTTAAAAAAAATATGAAGCATTGTTTTGCTTTGTGTGTGTCATGGTTTCGTGCAAATTACTTTTTTGTTAGGTCGATTTGCTTTGCTGGTCGTTTGTGGGAGTCTTATGGTTTTGCATGAAAAGTATGCTAAGGAGCCCTGGCGGCACATTGGTCTAAAAGTTCCCCACCACCCCCCCCCCCGCGGTTCGACTCCCCCCTGCGCGCGGTGAGCGGGACCACCAAGCAGCTGCAGCACACCAAGCATCTGCAGCGCCCAGCGCAGCAGCGGCAGCAGCAGCAGCACCAGCAGCAGCAGCAGACCACCCAGCGGCAGCAGCAGCAGCAGCATACCCAACGCCGCGGCAGCAGCAGCCGCAGCAGACCACCCAGCGCCAGCAGCAGCAGCAGCAGACGACCCGGCGCCTGCAGAGCACCCAGCGCAGCAGCGCCCAGCGCAGCAGCGGCAGCAGCAGCACCAGCAGCAGCAGCACCAGCAGCAGACCACCGGAAGCCCGGCTAGCTTTCGTTCACCCCCTCTGGCCTCAAGTTTTCTTCGGCTTCTTCTTCGCTTCGCCGCTTTTTTTTCACAGGAAATAACACGGTGCACTGAAGGGTCACCATTGGTGGGACATTGGTGGGACTGGAGACAAGTCAATTTGGTTTGGAAGGGTCATCAATCAGAGGAATTCACAGTGCGGGAAGATGGTCCACCTGAAGGACTCCACATCACCTGTGCTTCCAAGCATCAGGCATTTCCAAGCATCTTTGGGGAAAGTCTGTGAATTCATAGAAGGATCAGAAGGTATATATCTCCTTTCTTCCAATGTCCGGAGCCCAAAGACGTGTTATGATGTGTGGCTCAAAAACCAAGATCTACCCCCTTTCCAAACCCTTTCAGAATCTATCCGCTGTGGTCTAACCTCCTCCATTTCGGACCCACCACACACGACCGAACACGTCGACAGGTTCCCATTCCGCAAGACTTGGTGGACGGCATGCAGCGAGAGTCTCAGATGCGGATCATCTCGGGAAAAGGACGGTTGGTTCGGAAGGATGGTGTGAAAACAGAAGCCAGCAAGTGTTGCATTGACATTTAATTTAAGAAGTGGAGGGCATCATGGAAAGAACGAGACTCATGTGGTCAACCTCCGCCTTTTTGGGCTGAAGGATCAAAAACATCACTTCAAGGTCAAAAAGGTGGGGAAGAAAACAGAGTGAACGAACGACCCATCCCACCAAACCCGATCGAACGTCACGGCGTTGTGGGAGAGAACGGCCGGCGCGAAACGAGCGTCGAAATCCGTCGTCGTTTCGGCGCGGAACGTTTCCGGCACGCTCAGGCCCAGCTTTTCCGCAAGGGTTGGGAAGCTCAGATGTAAGTGGTAAGTGCCGCCAAGGTAGGTGGCCCAGGGTGGATGGCCCTGCTTGGGAGGAGTTCCATGAGGGTTCGACACGTTGGTTTTGGAGGTGTGAACATGGAGGTTGGGAGTTGGAGTTTCGTGACTGAAAAGAGAAGTGAATGCCATTATGGGAAAGCTGTTCATTGCTGACTTATTTATTTGAGCCGACTATAATATGTTTGAGCTGTATTTGGCTTCCAAACTGCTTGCTGTCACAAAGCATTCAAATGTTAAGAATGGATGACTTATAGCCATTATGGCCAGGTGCAAGAAGCCATTCAAAGAATGTTCAAAGATCTTCAAAGTCTCATACTGATTGGATTGGTCGACGTTTGTTTGCACAATGTTGCAGGTTGATGAAAGTACACAGCTCAGCCACAGGGTTCTAGGAGCGTTTTCAGACGTAAACATGACACACCATCCAGTAAGACGCTTGCGACCCGTTGATGCTGTAAAGGGGCCAACATGGGCCAACCAACATTTGGCGATGGTGCACCCTTGAGGATCTCACACCGGTTTCTTGAGCTCAGCCCTCGCAGGATCTCACCATGTTGGCCCATGCCTTTTGCAAGTCACGATCCTCGGAGCACACCCTCGTGAAGCCAGGGCGGGCCAGACGGTGTGGGTAAACCCAGTCAGTAAGGGGATGGTGTTCACTCCCCACCGTCATCTCCAGGATGTCGGGTGTCCAATCGAAGATCTCACTGAAACCTCCCCCGCTCAGAGGCTGTGGGGTGTTTTTCCCAACTTCGAGATGAAGAAGCCAATGAAACCACGGTTCCTTTTTGGGGGGTGAAAACAAGCTTTGAATGTTGCGAAGCCCACGAGGACGGACGATATCATCAGATAGATATTCCGAGCTTTCTATCCGAGGCATCGACGATGTGCCACGCTACTAGGAACAGGTGCATCGCTAGTAGTAACAGGTGCCTTACTAGTAGTAACAAGAAGCTACTAGTTTGATCCATGGCAGTTTATGATGTTTTGTGTGTCCAAGCTTTGCCTGTGAGTGCACAGCACAGCACTGACATGTTCCTTGTGACCCCAATCCAAGACATGACGGTGCCTCCAGACCGCAGGTCGCCGGTTCTCTCCAAAACATATATTATACATCTGACTGATAACTGTTCGGTCCTGAAAGCGGGAATCTGGCGCTACTGGCCGAGATCCTCAAACCAAACCTAGTATTTGCAGAATGCAAATGATGCCTCAAATGTAATCGTAGTAGTTTGCAGATACATATAATCCAACTCATATGGTTCGATTGCTTTCATGCATCGGCAATCACACCAGTCAACTCAAATTTATGAGCCTCTTCCAACTTCTTCTCCATTGGGTTCTCCACCAAGGACACCGCTCACAGATCTTCTCGTTGATCTCCAGGTCTTGCCGGGATGGACCAGTTGGAAGTGACAGTTGATCGGCGCACAACCCCTGCGGGCTGCAAAACTGAGTGAACCGCGGGCTGCAATGTGTATATTGACACACGGAGACCCCAGTGGAGACCCCCATCTTTCAAAGATCTGTGGGTAAAGGAAACAGACCAAGACTACCCATTCAAAATATTCAAAGGTCTCCCTGTTCTAAAACAACTGGTGTGATTTGGCATTCCAGGAAGTGAACTCTTGGTGAAGTATTGGCTGATGACACAGTTGACGTATCCTGGAACCGCCCTGGTGAAAGCTACACATCGCAAATGGCCCTACAAGCAGATGAAAGCCTGGCAGATGAAGGCTTTGAACAAGTGCTCAAGGGGATGGAGGTGTTTGAGAGGACTCTCGAAGGCCAAAGCCTTAAACTGTCAAAGTTTGCTCAAAGGACTTGTATGATCTTGACCTGTATACAAGTGAGTTGTGTGTTTTTTTAATGTATATTATACTTGCTTGCCTTGCAACCCACTTGCACTGGGCATAGGTATCAAAAATAAAATAAACAGAGCATCAAAAACAAAATAAAAACAGGATCAAAAAAATAAAAAGCGAATCAAAAAAATAAATATTCCTTGGCCTTGTGGTCTGCGGGTCCTCTGGTAATGTGGTCCCTTGGTCCTCTGGTCCTTTGGTCCCCTGGTCCCTTGGTCCTTTAGTCCACTGGTCCCCTAGTCCTCCGGTCTCCTGGTCCTCTGGTCCTGTGGTCCGCTGGTCCCCTGGTATCCTAGTCCTTCTGTCTCCGAGCGCTCTGACAACGCCATGTAGGGCCTAACTTCGTGTGAACGCCGTGACTACTGCTACTGCTACCACTCCTCCTCCTCCTCCTCCTGCTGCTGCTGCTGCTGGCTGCTGGCTGCTGGCTGTTGGCTGCTGGCTGCTGACTGCTGACTGCTGACTGCTGACTGCTGACTGCTGACTGCTGATACTGCTACGCTGGTGCTGCTGCTGCTGCTGCTGCTGCTGACTGCTGACTGCTGACTGCTGACTGCTGCTGCTACTGCTACGCTGGTGCTGCTGCTGCTGCTACTGCTACTGCTACTACTACTACTACTACTACTACCCCAACCATCCTCAGTGGGCTAGAATATTATTTTTTTGATTACCTTTTTATTTTTTTATTGATCCCCGTTGAATATTTTTGTTGAATCTATTTTTATTTTTATTTTGATCCCTTACCCCTTGCACTGGAAGCTCGTATGCAGACGATGGAATCGCCCAGGGCCGCGGAGCCTGTGATGCCGAACTTCACTGCGAAGGAGTTGCAATCCTTGCTGGTCGGGGGAGCTCAGAGCAGCTGCCACAGCTGCCGCAGCTGCCAGCGCAGTTGGATGGCTCCGAAACCACGAATTCCACGGAGCTTCCTTGGAGTTGCTGGCAATTCGGGGTTCCGGGGTGCTGATTCCGCACCCATTCGCTCCAAGATGGAACTCCTGGCAGGTGCGGAACATGGTCATGGGCTCAACGAAGCCCTTGACCACCAGACGGCAAGCTCAGGTCTCCATGGCGCGTGCTCATCATTCAGATGCCGCTCTCTTGGACGGCATCTCGTTGCAGGCGACTTCCCTCCGCCTTTCGTTCGGCCAAGGAGCGTGCGGGACTTCCCGCCGCCTGAGTGGAAGCAGTTCAACCATGTTTAGTCTTCTGATGCGTCCTAAACATTCGAAAACTCTAGGACAACAAGGAATCTTTCGATATCTTGATATCTTTACTATGCTTCAGAATGATGCAACCTCTTTGCCGCAGTAGGTCTCCACATGTCTCCACTTCCCTCCATGCTTCCTGGTATCGAAGATTCAGAAGGTCTCTTATAAGCTAGGTATTGGCAGTGGAACAAGAGGGGAGACCCCCAGGCCCGAAGCATGCATCAAGTCTTCAGTCTGACCTTGAGAACTTGAGATCTGATCCCAAAATTTCCCAAGGCCCAGAAATTCCAAAGACATAGAAATCCTCGCCATTAGGTTGGAGGCCATCGCTATGAGAATGACATGAAGTTGTGAACAAAGCTTCATATCTTGGGTCGTTACTTGAGTACTGCATACCACCTCTCAAGGTCTGATTCTGATGACCATACAGTTATAGACACACACACATGAACAAGCATCAAAGTGGGAGCTTCAGAGCTCGCCTCCTTCCCCATTGTTGATGGCACCGTGGGGAATGTTTCCCATCAAACCGCTGGTTCCAACTGCCAGGTTGCTGGGTGGTCAAACCAACCATCGGAGAGAGAGAAACCGAGGGAACACCTGATGTGACGCAGAGAAGCTCCACCTGGCGCTTCACCTTCTTCCGAGTCAACACCTCCAGTCACAAGAGTTTGGGAGACTGCAGCCCATTCTGTTCTGGTGCTTTCCACATCAAATCCATGAATTCCCCTTCGACCCGATTCGACCCCTCAACCTGCTGAGTCGGCTGGGCCGCCGGGGACTTCGTTTTGGGGAGAGGACACCGGCACCGCCGCCGCCGGTGCTTTCAGGCTCAACGCTGCATCGCCCAGTTCAGTGCCGAGGCCTTGGCACTCACCCTCCGAGGCGGGGCCGACCGGTCGACCGGAGGAGCTTGGGGGACGGAGAGCGCCTGCTCTCGCCGGTCGCGAGCGAGCACTCCGGAGACGCTATAGTTGATGATCATGTGACTGGAAGAGTTTGGACATGGCGATGAAGGGGTCTTCATGATGTCAAATGTATTATAGAAGTAATTATTGCAGTGAACATGACTTATTTGGATAGCTAGAATTTGGTATATTTGTGTGGTTGAATGGGGGCATGGTTGAATGGTGGCAAGACTTCTGTTACTTTCTGGTTTAATGGTCTTTTGACCAAGCCAATGAATGGGGGGACCGGTTGAGAAGTTTGGCAATCCTATGGCCATGGTTGTCAAAGGGAGCAGACATCTACGTTTGGGAGGCTTCCCAAGCCAAAGGCTTGAATGAGGCCTTCGGGGGAAGTAACCAGAAGACCAGAATGAGATGTTGCTAGTAACTAGGAGGTTCAAACCAGTGCTTCATTCAAGTCCCTCCCGTCGGTCGGGGTGGGAACCTGCTAGTCAACTAGTTTGGAAATCCAAAGTTCCATTAGGTTGGAGGCCATCGCTATTAGGAACAAGAGCGCTACTAGGGGCTCCTGGCTGTACTACTAGGAGCAAGTAGCTTCTAGGGAGGAGGTCATCGCTATTAGGTTCCTGTTGCTATTGTTCACTCTAAAAGCGTAAAACACTGGCCAGTGGCACCATATCACACTGGAAGGTCTTCCGCCCTTGCGAGGAGGGAAGACCCTTTTGGGATGCACTGCAATGATGTCCAGATTCTCTATGTGTAGATACACAAGCCTTGTCAGATTCACTGTGGATGAGGTACAATTACAGGCTATTCTTTTTTGACCCCTCGTATCTCGATGGGTTTCTTGCCCGTTTCTGATCTGTGCATGTACTTCATTCAGTTTATTCTTGCCATGTTTTGCCATTTGTTTTCCCTCCATGGCTTTTCATCGCCTGGACTTGCAGCTCACCTGGTCCAGGTATGGCCTTCTTTGGCCGCCGGGATGATCCCCTCTTCACGCGGGTGCGCAAGCGCGCAAAAAACACCCGGCTTCGACATGCAATTTTCGAGTCGGGTGAAGTGGAATGGAATTTTCTACGTGCTGTTATATAATCGTATTGTTTTTGTGTCTTGCGTCTTCGCAGATGTTCTTTGGCAACGAGATGTTTGTATATGTTTGTATACATGTGTTTGTTAACTGTTTTATTTTGCAGATGGCACCATGTTCTTATGCTTGTAAATTATATAGCCAGATGTTACTATGTTGCTATTGTTCTTTTATTTCCCGTCTTAGATGTTGTTCAAACATATTGTATGCGGTCTCTCCTAATTTCCCACCAAAAGTGCTTTGGGCCACGCATCGTCAGGCCCAAGCTGGCCGGATGAACTGATAGCCAGGTTAACGGTTAACGAACCGAATCGAAAGACTCCAGCAAGCAATCTGAGCAAACAATTCCACGGCCTTCTTGGACCAAGTGTTTGACTGTTTTGGACACATGCGTATGAACTGAGTTCAACCATGTTCAATACGGTGGTCATGGATGGCCGAATCATGGGTTATCTTATGAAATCTTATGTCTTGATATCTGGTATTATAACAGATATCTATAGATATCAAATAGTCTGAAGCGGTCAGATATGTCAACAGAATATCCTGTCAGCTCATCCTTTTGGACCACGGTTGCTGTGTCGCGCCCTCGAGCTGTCAGGCCCTCCTCGAGCTGCCTCGCGTCCTAGAGAGCGCTCGTCCTGCTGATGTGGCTGCCCTTTGTAGCAGCTTTGCCGCGGCCCAGGCGACGTCGACCATACGACTCGCCCTATGAGTCCTGGACGGGCACTGAAATCTGTGAGCACATGGGCTACCAGATTGCAGAGAAATGGATAGAAATTGGCACAAACCCAAGGGGGCCATGCAACATCCAGCGATGTGCCCATGATTTGCTTGGGTCGGCTTGTGCCATGACAGCCGTAAGCAGGACTTCAAAACTCCTGCACAAGCAAGCAGGACTTCGTGTTAGTGTTAGTGTTAGTGTTAGTACTAGTAGTAGTAGTAGTAGTCGTAGTGGTAGTGGTAGTGGTAGTGGTAGCGGTAGTCGTAGTAGTAGTCGTAGGAGTAGGAGTAGGAGTAGGAGTAGTAGTAGTAGTAGTAGTAGTAGTAGTAGTAGTAGTAGTAGTAGT